GATTTACATTGCTGTGCTTGAGAGCCACCATCTACCGGAACCAAATTCCCTGTATGTGTCTGCACATATACTTGGCCAATAAACACGATTCTGATTCTGATTGTGTCAGTTTATTAGGAATGTCAGACAAAAATGTGATTAAAACATATAGATTACCAAGCACAGGAACCAATCTTCTTTCAGCTCTTCAGCTTTTAGCGTTGAGTTCATTTCAATGTACTATAGCTTCTGTGGCAGGGATTTTATTAGCTTTGTTCCAGGTGGTGACGTTACTAATGAAAAGAGTGTAGAGGTCCAGCTCATTCCCAACTAGCGAGGATGCCCTTCAGCAAGTAAAACAGGAGTTTCAAACTAACCAAATACATGTATTGTTAATCCCTGAAACTGACCATGTGTTCCATAATAGGAAGTACACATTCTCAATTATTGTGCAAGTATTTTGCTAATCTATAAACATTATAATAAGTGTGATATCCAGGGGTGTATCCAGGGTCTGTTTATGATGCCTCTGATTTCCAGGGGAGCAGACTTTTTCAAAAACTGTAGAACGGAGAGTATAGAGAAGATTGGCTTTTAGGAGTATCTTTTTTATTTTCCAATGATCAGGATTTCATTATGATGATCATCTTAGTTCAAGGTGTTCATGGAAATTACCCCTTAGACTCATGGATTATGACTCAGGTTCAAAGCCTGACCACATCACCAGAGCAGCGCTACAACCATGGCCACATCTGTACCCGAAGCATGTCAGTTACCGAAGCCTGTTTCCATTATAATGACTCTGTTTGTCAGACTAACACCGTAGGCCTACATTTAACGTACACATGTGTGGCAATTGTTTAAAGGGTCGTTGTGCTGGCTGTTTTACCATTTGACACTCAAAAGTGTTCCCAATGCCATATTCTGAAATCAATTCATTAAAATAAACTAACATCCAAATGACATCCTGAGAAACTTGACTTTACTTGTAGAACTGTGATTATACAAATGTAGGTATAATATGCTTACATTTGCATCATGTAAAGTGTATGGTATACATGACCTATAGGTCTGGTTTCTCTCTGGTCTCCAGGACACTTCCTTATCAGTCCATCCAATCCTTGTCATCCATGATGAGTGAAGCTTAAACTCAGTGTTCCAGTTATATTTCCAAGTACGCCAAGTATTTTTGCTAAACCAGATACTGCTGCAGTCATGCTCTTATGTCTGGATCACAATGCTTTTGCATTTCCTCACGTCCTATACACTTCCTGATATGAGTTGGAGTTGACTCACCAAGTTTGGCAAGCTCTCTTGTAATGCCGATGTCTGCTTTGTCAGGCTTTGAGTATTTTCACGGCAATATCAGTGGGGTGGGTGGGTTTGTTGATTTGAAATATTTACACCGTAGCTGCGTTCATTCAGTAGACCTGGTAAAAAGTCACCTCTGCTGAAATGTGCAGTTGAAATTTTCCCTATTCAAGTCTAAAGCCCAAGTTCAAGAGTCACATTGTGTTTTTTTGCCCTGTCTCCCTCCCCTTATTCTCAACAAGTTTCATTTCAAGTCAATACAATTTTATTTATATAGAGCCAAATCACAACAACAGTTGCCGCAAGGTACTTTGTCTTCTAATATAAAAAAATTAATGCAAGGAAAACAGAAAAAATCCCTACAATTATGTGTCCCCCTACGGGCAAACACAGTGGGAAGGAATAACTCCCTTTTAACAGGAAGAAACTTCCAGAAACCTGCAGAACCAGGCTCGGGGAGGGGGAGCCATTTGCCGTGATCGGTTGGGGCCAGGCCAGGAATAAAGTCTATTAGATAGATAAGATGGAAACCACCTCATACGCTTAATACCAACAGCATGCTGTAATCTGTAATAAAATATGGTTAACAGGATCAAACATCGCACTGACTGAGATGAGTCAACAGTCAGAGCCCACAAGATCATTTCATTAATGCTTTGCTTTGCTGTGATAAGCTCTGAAACCTGACTGAAACTCTTTAAACCACTGCTCTGCAAATCAGTAAGCTGTTTTACAACTACTCCTTCAAGAAATTTAGAGATAAAAAGAAATTTGGTGTATTGTTATAGCTAAGACAGTTTGGTTAAGTGATGGTTTTTCAAGTAACAGTTTAACTACTGCCCCCCCTTAAAAGCCTGTGGTATGTAGCCCATTAATAGAGTCAGACAGATTGTAATAAGACTGAAGCATTAATTACTTCCATTCCAGTCTTAGAGCTGTCTTATAGAAATGGGGTCTAATAGACACAGGTTTGTATGAAGTACTTAAGTTAGAGAAAAGAATCTAAATGGATATCAGTAGTAGTAGAAGTGACAGTGCATAATGTGTCTGTGAAGGTTCTCAGACATCCAGGTCATCGTAGTCTACGGAGCTTGGAAAAAAAACGTCTGGACTTTTTAAAGTTTCCTTGAAAACGTTTCACCTCTCATCTGAGAAGCTTCTTCAGTTCTAAGCACAATTGTTAGAGAGTCCCATTTCTGGTCGTCCCTAGTTGGAGTCTGGTCTTCTTTTTGTGCATCTTTGCTGACTTGATGAAAGACCAATTAGGATTACCACATGTTTTAAGAGCCTGGGCCATTTGACCTCAAATGGCCCAGGCTGGCCATGATAGGACTGGGCTAGGTTTCACACCTTGGCTCCTGTGACTCAGTAGAGGATCAATAGGGGGTCCATGACCCTTTTGGGGACACTCTCATAGGGACTCTCCACCAATTTTTCTTTAACCTGATAGCTCTTAGCACTTGTTATTGTGATTGTATTGTTCTGTGAGTCATGCTATTTTTCAATCTTTAAAACAAATAAAAAGATTTGAAATTTGAACACTTAAAACACTGGGAAGCCTTTTTTACTATTAATTTAAAATTCATTAATTTTTAGTACTAATTAGTATCAGATAGTGGAATCCACTGGTATACTGTTATCACTTTCACGATTCATTAACCGTAAGACCTTTCTGTTTGTGGAGGATTAATTCCATCATGTTTCACATCATGTTTTTAGTGAGAATCCTCAATAAACTTTATTTCAACATTGTTAATATATAATCTTATATTATTATTTAAGATTGAAATTCAAATTCAGCTTGTACTTCTAAAGATCATATACCTTCATTTTTTTGGCTTCTGCACGACTCTTGTAGCAAAACTCGACCAGTGCCACCATCATGGCTAATCCCAGACCTCCAACCAGGATGTAGAAGACTCCTGCTACATTACTAAGAGAGAGTGCGCTGGTCTTCTCCTAGTATGCACACACACACACACACACACACACACACACACACACACACACACACACACAAGGAAGAAAAATCATCAGAAACCCCAGAGAAAG